TCTGTGATGCTGAGATTAGGACTCTGCAACCACGTTTCTGCTGTGCAGGCTGGTTCCCTGTTAGGCTCTGCCGAGTGTATGCTAGAGACTGAAAGGCTAGAGAAAGGAGACTTGTCCTTCCTGTGGACAATTTTCTTGCAGTTCCTCTGAGTTATCAACCCAGTGATGCCTCTTCTCTGTGGTGCTGCAGTTTCTTTTATCAGTTGCTGAAACCAGTGTGGAGTTTCTTTGTGTCTCCCCTCAGCTGGCAGCATCCCCTCTTCAGAGGTCTGAGTTTCAGCCTCCAGGGTTCCTGCCCCAGGCTTCTAAGTTCTAATAATTCCAACCTCTTCTCTTTGTTTTCACAGCCTTAGGTTTCACAGCTGCTGCCGTTGCTCCCTCCATACTTCAAAATTCTTTCAGTGACCTAACTTTATGACTGGTCAATAATTCTTTAAATTATTTGCTCAAATACCTGGTCATTTTTGCCTCCTGATTAGAATCTGATACACTGACAAAGGGCTAGTATCCAGAACTACACACACACACACACACACCCAAAGGGCACATATAGCAGCATTTTTTGGTAATAGCCCAAACCTTCGAACTCAAATGCCCATTAAAAGTTAAATAGATAAATTATGCTATATTCACACGAAATATAGCAGTGACACAAACCATCACTATGTATAATTATATGGATTAATCTCACAGAGTGTAAAGTGAAAGCCACTCAAAGGAGTACATAATGTATGATTTTATTAATAAAGCAATGAAAAAACCCATGGTGCTATGTTAGCATAGTGGTTACTCTAGGTGGAGGATTGGAGAGGGACAGAAACTAGGAGAATCTTGAGGGGCTGGTAATACTGCTTCTTGATCTGTATGGCTATATGATCTCTCAAGTTAGAAAGAAACAAAAGCCCTTCCTACTCTCAAGCTACTGTCCTATCCTCTCAGTTAGAGCTCTCCACACATCTGCCCCTGCCTTGACACTGAAATTATTTTCACCAGTCACCTGACTATAAATTTAGTAGGCATCATTTCTGTGCCTACATTTTACTCAGCGTAATTGTTTACCGTTTTTCTTGGTCTTCCTTCATTACTCATTCTTTAAATACTGATATTCATCCCTAACTTTCTCCCTTCCAAATCTGTGCACCATCTTATATAGTCCCATCATTTGGAATATATCTATTGGCTAAGGACTCCCAACTATTTCTAGTTACTCTCCTTAGCTTCAGATAGTTACCCAAATGCCAACATAAATCTCCATTTGGATTTATTCACAGTATCTGAGTGCTAAATTTGGGTCAAATATTATGTTGAGTTGCTAGAATTTCTCAGAGAAATATCAAATTTAGTGTATTCCAACCCAGACAATCTTTCTTCCCCATATTTAGTCTTCCTTTAGGATTCTTTCACTAACTGGCACCACCTTCCACTAAGCCAACCAAGTAAAAAACTCAGAAGTAATTTTTTATTTCTCTTTGGCCATATGTTATAAATCAAGTCTGTTAAATTTACCTCCACAGGGTAACTCAAATCTGCCTATCTCCAGTCTCACTGATACTCATTCATACTTAATTTTATATATACTTTTTTGGAATGATGAATAGATCAAAGTGAACACTACAAAGAAATGTCCCTATGAATTCCAAAGTAGTACTTAACACTGTTTTCAAATGCTATAGCATGGCCAAATTAAGTATCTACATAAGCCCTCAGATTAAGGTAGTTGTGGTAGCCAAACGTCAAGATGAGCCCCAGTCATCCCACCTCCTGGTATTTACCCTCCTGTGTAGTCTTCTTTGCCATCTGACCGTAAGACCAATAGAATATGGCAAAAGTGATGGTATAGCATTTCCAAGATTAGGTTATATAAATGCTGTGGCTTCAATCATGGGTGCATCTTCTTGGATTATTCTGGAAGAAGCCAGCTGCCATGTCACAAAGAGACTCGGGTAACCTATTATGTCTCCAGCCAACAGCCAGTAAGGAACTGAACGATACCAACAACGCTGTGAGCTTGGAAGCAGATTCTGCCCCATTTGAACCTTCAGATACCACAGCCCTAGATGTCAGTTAACTAACTACAAAGTAATGAGATCCTGAGCCAGAACCACAAAGCTAAGTCACTGTGATTTCTGACTCATTGAAACTGCAATATTTGCTTTAAGCTGCTAAGTTTGATGTTCCATAGCAATAGATAACATTTCTTCTCCCAATCAAACCATAAGCTGACTGTAATTTCTGTTACTAGAACAAATAAAACAAGTACACGTTACACTGCTTCACAATTTCAAATTATTCACTATCACAAGATCAGTATGTTAAATTCTGGACAACAAATTCAGTAGTGGCCTAGTATAAAAGCATTTGATTAGAACTGTATTTTCAGTCAGTTTTGATTTATTCCAAATTTTTTGTTCTTTGACTTACAAAGGTTAAACATTACTAATTCCTCTCAATTAGCTAAAGAACAATTAATATTTAAACAGCTAATAAAACTATACTGTTAATTAACAAGACGGTCAAAAACTACTTCCCGCAAAGAATACCCAAGACAAGTTCAAAGATATTTCTAAAACTGCATCCATGCACTGCCAAACATTATACCTGGCAGAGGAAGCACTGAGTAAGTATTTGTAAAGTGGGCAGTAAAATTTTACAAGCAATCAATTTCAAACCACTGTGAATATAGCATGTCATCGAGTGTCAGTTCAACTAATGATTCTATACCAGAACATAACAGAACTGATCTGTTTTGGGTCTCCCTGCACTAAAACTCTCATGTCTCCTCTGATTTCTTCCTAAATCTTTGGTGGGAAGATGCTATGTGAACTCTGAATAGCTCTCAGTGAGTGCTAATTCAAGGTGACAGATTGACCAAAAGAATGGGACAGAAGTGAGACATCAAAAGACAATATATTGCAAAAATCTGTATGAAGATGGAAAACAGATTAAGAAAATACAAGCTAAGAATGCTCAAAGTTAAGTGGCTATAGACAAAGATTAAAACTAGAAGTGAACCTTAAAGATCCCTTAAAGAGGTTTAGAACTTAGAGGCAGCACCAAAGTCATGGAAGGAGCACGGCTGAATAGAAGTGGTTCAGAGTCTATATATAAGAGCATTAGTCTTTTAGGTCCTCTGCCATTCTCACATGCACAGACTCTTTCTCAGCTTTGCAAAGTTGGGCAAGTTTTTTAACCCCTCCAAGCATCAATTTCCTCATTTGTAATGAGAATAAGAAAATACCTACTTCGTGGGATTATCATGAGGATTAAGTGAGTCAATACATATCAAGTGCACAGAACGGTATCTAGCAACATAGTAAGCATGCAATAAAGCATACTTTATCATTTTAAGCCTTTGATGCCATTTGCTTTCTAATTGATTACAGTGTATATATTACTTTGAGAACCACTAATTTAAATTAAGTCACATTTGGGGGACACATGAATGATGGAAAGATAAAGGCATTTTCACCTTGAACACAGTTCCATGATGAATATACCACAGCAAAATCTTTGCTTTGTCTCAAAGCAAAGCTAACAATCATGAGTGCCACAGATAAGTACGAAGACAAGAAAATTGAGGGAAAAAAAGAAATGGAGACTGAAATGAAGTAGCTGCTATACTGTAGAGTGAGAGGTGCCTCTGAGAGTTTCCCTACATCATTTTATGAGTATAATGGCTATACACTGCTTACATATGAACAAATGAGGATCAGATTACAACAATGATTAGAAGCAAAACATAAAGGGGTAGATTGCAATGAAAACTAAAACTCAACAATCCATAAATATCACATATAAAATGTTACCAGGAAATCTTACAATTTGTGCTATTTGAAAAATATTTATTGCAATGACAAAACTAGAGGTTAATTACTATTTTATTATTGAATTATAAAGCCTACATCTACAATCTTAATCAGGAAGAAATGCTTTGCATTTACATCAAGGACACATTTATTCTAGTGGAGTAAAACAGACACAGACAAAAGACCAACTACGCATTAAAAAAAAAAAAAGACTACATGTTTTTACCTGGTTCTACTTGGCTATTTTGGACCATAGCTTTCCTATTAGAAAATTGATCTCACATACATATTACATCTGATTTATCATTCCACATTTCTGAACACTAAATGCAGCCTCCCACAATTTAAAATTATAAGCAAAAGATTGAGAACAATATGGTAAACAAAGTTTAAAAGCAAAGTAAAAGTAGATAGCTATTACTGTTGAGGCAAAGTTGAGTAAAACGTGCCCCCTCTGTGGCTCATCTCAAAGAAACACTTTTACTCAGAGAGGCAAGCATTTCTGATCTAGGAGTAAGTTTCCCACTGCGTTTGCAGCGACCAGACCTACAAATGTTTCTGGTCAATTGCTAAGTGAGTAAAAAATACCTACAAAATATTTAAAAGCTACAGATCAGGTGAGGGCTGATTAAAGTCAAAACTGTATGCTGATTTAAATATACATTTTCAGCTTTTTCCTGTTTAAAAAGTATCTTTTTATTTCAGATGATATTTAAAAATAACTTACATTTTTAATGTACTTTATGGTGAATGACTGTAAAGTTAAAACTCAAATGAGTAAGTTCAAAATTTTTGTTTTACTTGATTCTACTGAAATTTCAATTATCTATTGTTATACATGAGGTAAGTTTTAGCTAAAAAAATAAATCAACCAAAGAGTTAACCATTTCAAGAGTAAACAAAAATTATAATGCCCACCTCAATTTCAGAGTCTGTAAATTTATGTATTAACTACTGTGCATCCAAGACAAGTTTATACTATGTAATTTAAAAGCAAATAGTTTTTGCACTTTCAAATCAAATTATGTTGGGAAACACTTGGCAAAATTTTTCAGTAACAGAAGATAATTCAGTAATGAGTCCAAATGGGACCTAAGACTGATGTTTAAAATTTCTAACTTCTAAGTATGCATGTGCACGCGCACACACACGCACACAAGTGCACGCACATGCGTGCGCACACACACACACTTATTTATCTAAAAATATTTTGGTAACAAATTGGATTGATAGAATAAATGTTTGCTGTAAATAAAAAGTACAAGTTTCCAATTACAGACTTACAGCTAGCTTAACAGCTTTTAAAAACATGTACAGCCAGCTAACAGTTTTCTAAAACATATATAAGTTGCACTGAAAGATCCCTGCTAAAAATCAACTGCATTTAAATGGGTCTTACTGAAGTAGGACATTCATGATACTAGAAATCTTTTAAAAAGAGTACAATAGGGCTACAACAATAACATTACTATTAATAAAAGTTACAGAAGAGATTATCGCTGTACTTTTCCCCATAAACACCATCAAACTTTGCTGCAGTTACAAAAGTACAAGCCAAGTTACTTTTTCTCTTACGGAATTTCATGTTTCACATATCTCTAGTTTTTATTCAGCAGAGAATACTTAAAATCTTTTCTGTAAGAATTCAAAGTATTTAAGTGTGTAGCTTCACGTTATACTACCACGTTTGCCCTTCTTGTTTCCCAAATACACAAAAACAATATACACTTTTCTCAAAAAAGAAATATGTCCACATTAAAAAAATAAAGCCTACAAAAAAGTTCCAGAGCTAAAAAAGATTATTCATATGGCACGAAGTGATCTCCTACTAGTCCAAAGTCCAAAATATTACATGAAGTCCATTTATATTTCTTGTTTGCTTTTCAATGAAATACATTTACTGAGGTGAAATCACATTATTTTTTGTTCTTGAGTCAACAAGTATACACAAATGTTTTTTTAATAGTTATTAAAAATAGGAGACCAAGTTGAAAGTGCCAGAGATATCATTCATTGGCTTTTTTAGACTCATTATTAACAAACTTATAGAACGGATTTCCTTGGTTGGTTTCCATAGCTTGATAGACCAAAAACAAAAAAGTGGCCACAACAACAAAGAGCAAAATTTTTATCCACATGGGAATGGAGCGTCCCTTTTTTGTCTTTTCTGACTTGACATCTGCCAAGGGTACATACTTAGGAATATATTTAGATGAAAAAGATTCCTCCATCCTGAAATCACTGAGTTCTAATGGCCGTCCCGCTGCCCCTTTGATTGGTCTGCGGCAACTAGCACTGTTGGGAGTGAAAGGAGAAAGAGGAAAATATCAGATAAAATCATGGTTTAGATAAATAATATAAAATGTCATTACCACTCCTAATTCTAAACATATTTCTTGAAGTAATGGTAGAAAAACTGTCATATAATAAAAACAGTGAGGTCAGTCAACTATTTAAAACTTTTATCCATTTTTCATTTAAAAAATTAGGTGCATATCTTTTATTAGAAAATATTATTCAGAATATTGATAAAATACTCTCTGAATCTGCCTTGTGAAAGGCTTTTTAAGGCTAACACACTTAGGAAATAAGAGGAAAAAATAAGGTAGTTTGGTTGTGATGCCTTTAGTCAGGAAACAATTCAACAAATATCTAAAAGCAGTCTTTTCAATTAGAAAAGAGAAACCCAGGAATAAAAATGATTTCCTTCTTACTGGCTTTCAGTTTAAATTTAAAAGTAAGAATTAAATATTAGGTAAATATTTGTTTACAATCCTTCAGCTTAACAAGGTTAATTTTGAAACTGGTTCAACTTTCAAGAATATGAACTAGTTAGAAGAATTAAAGTGTTCCCAAAAGAACGATTTAATTCTGAGACTAGAGGTACAATAATTTTGTGAAGAATTAAAAATTAAAATTCCTGTGTGTGTGTACATATACATACATAAAATCATGTTGTACACCCTAAGTATATACAATTTTTGCATGTCAAATACACCTCAATAAAGGTGGGAATGAATGAATGAATGAGTAAAACACCCTAATACTAAGAGAATACACTAATACTTGTTTCAATGTATCTAAATACCTAATTCCTGTTGGTGTAGATGCTTCAAAGGGAAACATTTCCTTAAGAATATCCCTTTCTACTCTTCTTTCCTCTGCTTTTTCTCCCACCTAATAAGAAACAACCATAAGTTAAAAATTAGTGTAAATGTGCAATAATTAAAGCATAATTCTAAACAGAAGTTTCAGAGAACAGAACGCACTTAAGTCTATCCAACTTTTACAACTGCCATTTCTAACTTCATTATCACTTAATTATCCATACATTTCCAAGGCTGTCTTCAAATTTCCTCAATGTAGAAATATGTTAATGTAATGGGGATGAGGGAACAAGGACTATCACACATTCAAATAAGTTAAAAAATAAAACAAAATTCAGTACTGCTAATATAGTGGTGTAAGTTCCCTTCAATACTCTTCATTAACATTTAACATTAAAGGTACATTATTTCTTCCTCTGTTAAGAATTTTGTAATAAAATAAATGATCAAATATAGAAGACATCAAATTAAGATGTATCTTTTAGCAATTTTTAGTATATGTTTTAAACTACAAAGTTAATTCAATCTTAACTAAAAACACAAATTTTTAAAACAACCTGATTGTTTTGCTAAATTACCTTTATACCCAGATCAAAATAATCTTTGCTAAAGATTCAGTAATATTATAATGTATCATGCAGTTAATACTTTAAAGCTTCATTGTATAGGAGTTAATCAATTCAATTATCATACAAAGTCACTTTAAAGCTCCATTATCTGAACTCTCAGTGAAAGATAGTACAGCTTCCCCCACAGCCCAGTAACACTTTCATCTCACATCCATAACAAAGAGAACATATTATTAGCACACAAATGACCACTCCCTTGAAAACTGGAACTTAAAGAGGCACATAGTAGCAAGAGGACAGTATTAGCATGTCACACTATATTAGTTTCTTTCCACTGTCACTAATAGAAGTGTGCTTTTAAAATAATATATACATACATATAAACACACATACTGCCCAATAAAGAAAGCTCTGCTCCCTCCCACTCCAAAAAACAAAATACAAATATTTCCTCATTAAAAGATCAATGATAGCATCGATCTAAATTTTATTCATTTACTTCAGCTCTTGTCAATGGTTTCTTTGGTGTTCTTCTGGGTATGTCTGAGAATTCAGTGATTGGCAGAATAGGAGCTGCATGCTTGAAATTTCCAGTCACCCTATTGACAACCTGCCAAGATTCAAATTATTCAGACTCAGAATTATCCAAACATAACAGACATGTTAAAAGAAAAGAAAAAAAGATATTTGATTTCTGTAATATTTGAAATGTTCTCTTAATAAAAATTTAGGAAACAGAACCTAGAAATAATATATTCTGTGCTTCACATGTGAAGAAAGCCTTATTATTCTTTAAATATATTAGCAGAAAAGTATCCTTATATTACTAAGAATTCTTGAACAATGAATTATATATATAGTAAAGTGGCTATACTGAAAAATTCTAAAACTCAGAATTATATGGGGAAAATGAATTTAAAATGTTTAAAACATGTAAGTCTGAGGTTTGCAAGAATTTACCACCTCCCCAATTCTAATTAAAGGACAATTTACAAAGAATACCACTTGTATAGTTTATGAAACATATTTACTAAGGTTTCGTTGCTTGAAGCCATTATAGTTTCAGCTATGGGAGTACTCTCTGAAATTATTGCACCATCTATACGAAAATGTTCTGAAGTTTCCACCTGTTAGTTTGAAAACAAAACAAAACAAAAACAATAAATATAAAATAATCACTAAATCCCTACCAATCTGAAAACCCAATTCTAAGCAATAAGCCTTGCATCACCCTTTTCCTCGGAGTTCTTCTCGACCCTCTTGTAGATTCCCTAGTTAATGCCTGCAGAGGTCCGCCTTTTGAAGATCCACTTGTCCATTCAGTCTCAGTTATTCCAGCTTGAGAATAGCTCTATTCAAGCATCGACACATTAATAAGTCATATTCTAACATCAAACACCTTAATAATGGCCATAATAGCACACTGAGAAGCCACGAAAAGTTTCCAAATGCCAGCATTTGCAAATAATGCTACGCCCTCAAAATATTTCTAAATGTAGATTGAACAGATATGTAGGCATCTGAAAACACTTCAAGTATGGTAAAATACACTACAGTCCAATCATAGCTCACTTATTACAAGTGAGGGGAGCTGGGAAGCACATCAGTTTATCACTGGCTTCTTTTGTGACTTGTACTTTGCTATCTCACTCTAGTATCATAGCTGTCTTAAAAAAGCAGGCTGATCATGACTTGTAAGGAAGTCATTTGTTATATATAACAAATCAGTTTCCTTATTCTTCTCATATGGTTAGGATTATTTAAATAGAATCAGTTTCAATTATAATCCATAACAACTATCTCAACTTAAAAATTCCCAGGTGTCAAACGCATCTTAGATAAAATTGAGCAGCATCAAAAACGTAATGGTCATCTCTTTCATGCACAGGCAAGACTAAAATGTCACTGCCAAGCCTCAGTGCTACTCACTCCTCACTACAGAAAGAAAATAGAAGCGAACACTGTTCCCTTCCAGTTCCAGATTTATTTCTCCCTGAAAAGCCAACTGATTTTTCCTCATTAAAAAAA